AGCTGGTCTTGAACCCATGATCTCAGGCAATCCACCTGCCTCGGCCTCCCAGAGTGCTACGATTTATAGGCATCAGCCACCATGCCCAGCTCTGAGCCTAGGAGTTTTTATTTTTTAGGTTGCAGTTTTGGCTGGGGCCGGGTTCGAGCCAGGTATCCTTGGTATATGGGACTGGTACCCTACTCCCTGAGCCACAGGTGCCACCCAGTGAGCCTGGGAGTTTAAGTGACCTAAGATTATGACACTACTGCATTCTAGCCTGGGCAAAAGAGGGAGAGCCTGCCTCAAAACAAATACCAAGAAAACAAAGACTTGGACGTGAAATAATATATATATATATATATATATATATAATGTTTTAAGACTTAGAAATGCTACTCTCTTTTTCACTATTTATATAAAATGACTTGACATGGTTTATGATATAAAAACAGATACAAGGAAAGATCAAGGATATTCAGGAGGAGATAACAGACAAATGTTCCTGGAATGAGAGATGAAAGTTACTGTAACTGAGAACTTAATCTAATTCTTTTTTTTTTTTTTTTTTTTTTTGAGACAGAGCCTCAAGCTGTCCTCCTGGGTAGAGGGCTGTGGCATAGCTCACAGCAACCTCGAACTCCTGGGCTCAAGTGAGTCTACTGCTTCCGCCTCCCAAGTTGCTGGGACCACAGGTGCCCGCCACAACATCTGGCTATTTTTTTTTTTTGGTTGTAGCCATCATTGTTGTTTGGCGGGCCAGGCTGGATTCGAACCCACTGAGCCACTTGAGCCACAGGCACCGAGCCAACTTAATCTAATTCTGAGATTAGCACCAGGAAAGCACTATTCCACAAGAGAGTTAAAGACTTGCTTCATAGTTCTCTTCAAAGCTGTTGTTATGTATGCACTATGTCTCACAAATATGATGCTACTATCAACATTATAACCAAATCATTATTTTACATCAACATAAATAAGATTACACTTACTTTCAAGAAAGAAAACTAGCAAATTAATGAACTGAGCTGTAACTTATATTTCTACCACTAGATTAATTAATCTGCTTGACTTTGATCAAAACCCTCTACTAACCATGAATGAGTTAAAATTCATTTGGATTTCCAGAGCCAGAACTCAGGCTCAGTTTTGTCTAGCTGATGTTTAAAAATAAAGCCCTAAGTAAAAAAAAAAATGTTTAGTGTAAACAAAATTTCCTTAATTTTCTAAATTCTCTTATACATAAAACAGTAGCAGGTAAGAATCCTTAATATTAAACTTGTAGTCATGTTAAAAAAGTAGTGAAGAGAATCACAGATAATCAAATCAAAAAGAATGGAATCAAAAGGAAGGAACTTGTTATTAGATATATTTTAAACATAATTCTGTATTACTTCAGACATTCTGTAATAACCTACATGCTAAAAAGAACACGTTTTCCCCCTAATTTTTTGAGTTTTTGAAAACATACAATGACTAGAACCCTCCTTTTCCTAAATTCCTTCTATCTATATTAGGTCCTAAATTTTTTTTAAGATACTTTTTTAAAAAGACTGAGAAAAATCTTAGTCAATTCGTCCACTTACTGAGCTTTGCTCTTTTAACCTCAGAAGAGGCTGAAGTATCCACTATATTTAATCAGCAGTTAAAATGATGCACAGAAGGAAAGAGAAGGAAGGAGAATGTGATGTGAGATGGAGACAGACTCCATTTGGAGAGCCTGGCCGCCACTGGGAAACTCAAGGTTGGAGCAGGGGACGCTCTGTAATAAGAGCAAATGGCAGGAGGGAGGGAGAAAGGCTCACACCCTAATGTCATCGCCAAGGAATATCAGTACTGTTAATTCAGACAAAACACCTGCTGTAAACAAAAATACTAAAGGGCATGTAGTTATTGGTGAGGGGCAAAGAAATATGATCAGAAGGAAATACAGATGGGGTTGGGCCAGTTAACTGACAGAACTATTAGATGAAACCAAATTAGAACTTTTGAGTCTACGCATAGAAAAAAAGATATATTTTAATTAACAGCAAGACTAGCAGTTTTGAAGGTCTTTGTAATTCATGTTCTAATTTTTAAAGTTTTGTGGGAAAAGCCCCAAACCAAGAATTTGTAGGGATGTCACCCTTTATTTTGTGTAATAAAATATTTTATTGGTGATGACTTCCTGCTTGGCCCCTTCAGTTAGGTATTTATATAATGAATATATGTGCAGGATTCACAGATGATGTGATAAACTCAGTGGCACAATTCTGAGACTAATGGTCTATACAGTATTCTGGGGAATGCTACCATATAAATGGTATCCTCCAAAAAAATATTTTACCCTAATTAAAGAATCCTTAAAGGGGCAGCTAGTTGCTTCAGATTTCTATGTCTGCAGTATTATACCAATCATACACGAACAGTCCTTGAAGGTGAAGTAATCCATTTAAGCAACCTGATAGCACCTTAAGATAACCCTTCGAGGTCCTGTAACTTGTGCCTCTCAGTCCTATGCCCTGAGTATGCCACACCAAAACGACTGAGGAAGAGGACAAGAGAAGTTCTAGCGTGCACAGGGAGAAACTTTCAATATTTAACACAAATACTGGAAACTGTTCTAGTAGTTGGAGAGAATGTCCTATCTAGATGCCACTTGGTCAACCCTGTTTTGGGAGACAGCATAAAGGACCCTATAGCCACTTGGGAGAAGGCACCCACAGCTCCACTCAATACTGCACTGTCATGTCCTGGGCTGGCTTCTGATAGACCTCAAATACTTGAGGAGTTATTCTGAAGAGTTGTAAATGCTATGTTCTACACTAATACCTGTCCAAGTAAACAAGATGATGTGTTGTGTAGGAAATGATCAGATGGCTACAGAGCAAGATTATCAGAAAAATTCTGAGAATGAGTAAAATTAGATTTCAGGCAGCACAGTGATGGGGATCAGTGGAGAGTTCTGATGGCACGTATGTTTGAATGTAATAGCTCTAATTTTGTAACACCTCGGAGGGGGGTTATTTCTCTTAAATGAATTTAAGTGAGTCAATTACAAACTGAAATTGGGTGAATAATTCATATTCACGTATTAGGTATCTATCACCCACTTCTATTCTATAGCAAGAATCTTGACTGGTCAAAAACAAGGAGAAAATATGAAGTTTTTTTTTTTAAGAGACAGAGTCTCACTTTATCACCCTCGGTAGAGTGCCATGGTGTCACAGCTCACAGCAACCTCTAAGTCCTTGGCTTAGGTGATTCTCTTGTCTCAGCTTCCTGAGTAGCTGGGACTACAGATGCTCATCACCCTTGGTACATGGGGCCAGCACCCCACCCACTAAGGCCACAGGTGCTGCCCAAAATATGAAGTTTTTTAAATGACTCAGTGCTCTCCAAAACAGCAAAATCTCCCCTTGACTTAATAAAGGCTTAATCCAAGGTGTTAAAACCCACCAATACTTTGACTTCCTGCTTGGCTCCCTTAGTTAGGCATTTATATAATGAATGCCTTTTTCAAGGTGTTAAAAACCACCAAAGTATTGAGCTTATAGCTCATCTTATATTCAGTCAACTCACCTACTAGGGGAGCAGAAGGGTCATCAGCTTAGGTGAGGGACAGAGCATTTATCATTACAGTGACTGGAAGGCAGCAGGAGTTTAGAAAGTGGGCAAGTAGGCTGGAAAGGTAATGAAGCTGCCTACACCTTCTGGAACCCCACTCTGGCACAAGGGGGATGGACCACGCCTGTCAAGAGGATGGGAGTTAAAAAGACTGGCAGAGGAGATGGGCTTCTAGCAAGAAAGGAAGCCTGGAGGAAAAAAGGTGCACGTGTGTGTGTGGGGGGGGGGACGAAAGGAATAGGGACTAGAAGGGAGTCTAAGCTATTTCTTCTAGAAGTATTTTAGTAAGGTCAAAGGCTACATGGGGGAGAAGAGTAAAGGAAATGAAAGAGAAATTGTGGGATTTCTGACTTTTTATGCTTTTCTGATTTCAGAGAGGGAGTGGTTTTAGGGAATTATCAGGTCTGCAAAATGGCCCAGACACTGCCCTGGAGTCAGCAGAGCTTCTCCTAGGAGGTTCTCAGGGTCCACTGCCTCTGCTCTGCTCACATGGTTTTCTTGTCCTTGAAGAGCTTCCCATCTAGGCTTTACCTGGTTAGTTTCTATTAATTCTTTTTTTTTTCGAGACAGAGTTTCATTATGTCGCCCCTTGGTAGAGTGCTGTAGCATCATAGCTCACAGCAACCTCAAACTCCTGGGCTCAAGAGATTCTCTTGCCTCAGCCTCCCAAGTATCTGGGACTACAGGTGCCCACCTCAATGCCTGGCTCTTCATTGCAGTTATTTAGCTGGCCCAGGCCGGGTTTGAACCCACCACCCTGGGTGTATGTGGCTGGTGCTATAACCACTGTGCTATGTGCGCCAAGCCAGGTTTCTATTTATTCTTTGAGGTTCAGTTCATATCCTTTGTTATGACAAAACTAGCTTTTCCCTGTCATCCTATCTACTCAGCTATTCACTGTACACTAACACCCGGGTAAGAACACCTTTTAAAAGGGGTTCTCATGATGTGTATCACCTATTTTGGCTCACAATACTACACTACTAATAGTTTCTTTGTGATTTTACATTTGGAGACAAAAACAAAATTGGAAGAAAGATCTTTAATTTTTTGAATTATCAGGTCAAGTTACAGATTTAGGTAACGTATGTTTCTATCAGGGTGAACCATCTGACAATGTCAACTATTTTTGATATGCAAAAACTAGCAATTTTGTACGGTGCAACAGGAAGATTGGATGAAACTAATACTTTTCCCCTGTTTAAAATAATTTCAAATTGTAATTTCACTTTCACTTACAAAACTTACAAAAGTTATTTTTAGCTATTAAGTATAATAATATAACAGAAGCATTTCAATGACAAGGTATAAAACAAATATCTTCTAAAGATAAGATGCTTAGGTGTTTTTGTGCCTTTAGATTTAAACAACAACTAAGCATTTTAAAATAAGGAGGTGAGAAATTTCATACTTACATGTTTAAAACAGGTGACTGGAGCTGCTATAAAGCTATTGCTATTTATGTAGTTGCCCCAGCTGAAACCTTCCATGGAGACTGCTGAAATAAAACAAATTTAGATACATTACAATTCTCAAATACTTGATTTATAAGAAGGCTATTATTGTTAAAATGTGAAAGGACATAAAATTAATTTAGCCCCTTTAAGGAAAGTTTTCTATTTTTTCTGTAAGAATTAAAGAACTTCTCTAAATAACATGACCTTTAGCTTATATCATACTGGCAAACAAATAGTAGTTTCTTTGACTGTTCTATATATCACACATGCTCCTTGGAAAGTGAAATATAAGCTCTCTAGTTAGGGGGAGCAAAGAACAGGTGAGAAGTGTCCAAGATAACACTGCTATGGCTGCACCTGTGTTTTTACTCCCACTCAGCTCCCTTCAGTGAGTTATCTACCTACCATCTAGTATCTAATACCCTCCCTAGCATTTTTAATTGCCTTACTTCCTATTTACCTTGTTACCTCTGTACTCCTGTTAACAATATTCCATTAGAAACGATCTTTTCCTCAGTCTCTATTACTTTCCTCTTCTCAATCCCTTTAAAGGCCACTATGTCCCATTTCTTTATTATCTCCACATGCTGTCTACCAGCCACAGAATAAAGTATCAGTACATGAAAAATAAACCTAATAAAAATATTAAGATAATTACCACAAGCACTGGCCAGCCACAGCATAGAATGTCAGTAGATAAAAAATAAATGATAAACCAAATAAAAAAAATTAAGGGAACTCTCACAAGCAGTGGAATTCACACACGCAAACTATTCTCTTTGGAGTATCATTTACTGAAATCAAAACCATGGTCAGGAAAGCTAGAGTCCTACTGTGCTAACAAGGTATAGAAAACAGCTTAGTTAAACAGAGTAGAAACTTGAAATGTTAAAACTAAATGAATCAGTAAGTATTTTACCTGTTACATTCACCAATATTACCTGCTTTTGTCTTTGCTTGATTTTGCAAGGTAGCTTGATACTGAGCATATGCAGCAAGTTTAGCAACTAAAGGTTGTTTCTGAAGAACTTTTGCTTTCTTTGTTGGAGGCTTACCCTAGAACAAGAAGAGTTAAGTAAATAGGATTCTTTTTTACCCCCCTACCATTGAAATTTAACTTGATTGCACACTACTCATTCTGCTTAAGTAAACATTGAGGGTTTAGAAAATTATTAAAGCAAAGGAAACATACAAGAAATTTTAACGTGAAAATTTTTTTCTGGAGTTCTGCTACAATGTACATATCTAGCATGAGTAGCAGAGCTGGCATAGACTAAAATAGCAATATGCAAATTAATATGTTAATAAACATTATATCCCATAAGGTGTTAAAATATAGGCTGTGGTGGGTATTTGATTCCTTCTTATAGTAGACAGAACCAGTGGTTATTCACTCATGCAGGTTGCCAAGCATTGCTATTTATATGGTAAGAAAAGATAATTTAATGTTCAAAGAGCAAGTGACTGAGGTTTATACCTTTAGTGCTAACGCAAAAGATCAATGACAAAATGACCATGGGCCAAATTCACAGTGTGACAAACTGCCATCCATGTGGGCACAGACCACTGCTCGGGATCTTTAGGCACTGTCTCTCTGAAATATAGAAATACATCTGAGTGATGTATTTCCTTAATTTGGAGGATTTAAATAACCCTTCAGTGCTATATAATGATCACAATAATAAATTAAACAAGAATAAGGAGAATGTGATCATTCAATAACAGATACTGCAAAAATCAGCCATGTAGTGCCTTTTAAAAGTTGTTTATATGCAATGAGAGTAACGACTTAGTTAAGTTTCCAGTTGTTTTGTAGGCATAGACTAAAACAGGCCATGACAAACATTTAAAGCAACATGATTTTCTTTCCATACCATGAATGTTTTCAAAAAGATTAGTTGGAGTAACCAAATACCTTTGGTCAAGATATCAAATGGGTTGTACTCAAAAGTACAAAGCAAGGATGTGGTAACATACGACTAGACATTAAATCATTTCCCCCCAAATGTTAAAGACTCTATCTTCATGTTAAAAGGAAACAAGGGGGATAAGGAAAATGGCTTCAACTTCTGTATATAAAAAGGTGTTTACTGTATTTATATTTATGTGGAAAAACTATGGGTATTTTTAACTCACTTACATAAACAGCTCAATTTATGTCCATTTAAAATAGTTGCTTCAATTTTAGACATAGAACAATCTTTGGAGCTTACACATTTCCTAAAATTGGAGGGTATAAGATAATAACTGGCCAATTGGGCAGAAGTGGAGTGCAGTGAATCACAATCAAATGACTGGAAAAAACCATAAAAGCCATAGAAGTAACACATATAAAGAATAAGAAGGTTTCTGTACCGTTACCTGAAGTCTGGCCAAAATGCTTGCCTTCTTGGAATTTGACGAATAACTTCTTGAACACGAAACACTGCAGAAACGCTTTGTTTTAGAGTAGAAAGCATCCCGAACACCAACCATCCCACACATCTCACAGGTAGCTAATTAACAAGATAAAAACACTGGCATTACGATCATATAATAAAATCAATCTTTTAATCTAAATGTTTAATAACAGTTTATCCAACTATCTGATGACTTGTAATTTAAAAATGTCCCTTAAAAATTTCTTTTATCTCCACATGAATGATAAAGAAACTTGCATAAAAGCTAGAGAGAAGACTGGTATGATGCTACGGTGAGGGGCTCGACAAGGTCTGATAGAACTCTGAGCTCTGAAAGGCTTTATAAAAAGGGTCAAAAGATACATTGCTGTATTAGATTCAACTAACACTTCCTTAGTGCTTATCATGTGCCAGGCATTTCTATGTATGTTATGAATTCCAGATTTTGAAAGGATTATAAATAAACAATGAAATGAAGTGCAACACAATGGAGGATTTACAGCCAAGTGTAGCACAAGACTTTAAAACACTGCAAAGAGGCCAGATGTGGTGGCTCACACCTACAATCTTAGCATTTTGGGAGGACAAGGTAGGAGGACAGCTTGAGCTCAGGAGTAAAGACCAGCCTAAGAGACACACTATACCTCTACAAAAAATAGAAAAATTAGCTGCATATGGTGGTACACACCTGTACTCCCAGCTACTCAGGAGGCTGAGAAAGGATTGCTTGAACCCAGAAATCTGAGGTTGCTGTGAGCTAGGCTGATGCCCTGGCACTCTAGCCTGGGAAAAGAGTGAGACTCTGGCTCAAAACAAAAATACCAGGGAAGTTGAAACCTAAAAAGAGTTAACACTTGAAAAAAATGCTAAGTGCAGTACCAGGATTTCTTCAAGTTTTGTTTAAGGGACAAGAAAGAAGGAATATGTTCAAAGCTTAAGGTAGGCACTGTACTACTGACCAGCAATAGTGGAAAATAGAACTCTTGACTTCTAAGTTATGTATAAAGGACAATCAGAAAGGCAGAATCAGAACAAGGTTCATGAGGACTGAAATTCTTTTCGATGAACAAATAAACAGAAAGTTATATAGCAAATAACTGCCTTTGTGAGTCAAAGTCTCTATGAACAGGTAAACTAGAGGGACTTGTAACCAGTGCAGCTGGCCCTCTGTATCTATGGATCTACCAACTGTGGACTGAAAAGATTTGGGAAAAAACGCTAAGTCTGTACTGAACATGTACACTTTTTGTTCTTATCACTATGCCCTAAACAATACAGTATAACAACTATAACACAGCATTTACAGTGTATTAGTTATTATAAGTAATCTAGAAATAATTTAAAGCAGTGGTTCTCAACCTTCCTAATGTCGCAACCCTTTAATACAGTTCCTGTGGGTCGTGACCCACAGGTTGAGAACTCTTTAAGTATACGGTTAAGAAATGTACAGGTTATATGCAACTATACCATTTTATATAAAGGACTTGAGAATCTCTGAATTTCTGTGACTATAGGAGGTATTGGAACCAATCCCCCATGGATACTGAGGGACAACTATACTTACAAACCTATGAAAATCAGAGAAAAAAGGTAAAAGCACCAAAAGATTAGAGACGAACAAAGGGTGCCTCATAGGAGAAAAATTGGAATGGTTTCTTCTTATTATAAAAATTACAGCAGGGCAGGGTGTGGTAGCAAACACCTGTATTCCTAGCACTGTGGGAGGCTGAAGCGGGAGGATCACTAGAGCTCAAGAGTTCCAAACCAGCCTGAGCAAGACCCCATCTCTACTAAAAATAGAAAAAGTAGCTGAGTGTCTGTAGTCCCAGCTAGTTGGGAGGCTAAAAGAGGAAGATAACTTGAATCCAGGAGTTTGAGGCTGCTGTGAGCTATGCTGACACCAGGGCACTCTGGCCTGGGGTAACAAAGTAAAACTCTGTCTTAAAAATAAAAAAAAAAAGAAGTACATACAGCAGAAGCAAATTTCTATGACTATGATGCAAGGTCCATCAAGACAGGGACCATATTCTGTGTTGTTCATTTCTGCATCTCTAGTATTTAAAATAGATGCTAGCATTCATAAAGCTTTAATAAGCCTTATTTCATTTTATAAGATTACCAGACTGATATAATTAAACCATGCATGAGAAGAATATAAAAAACAAGAGGAGTTGGGCAGCACCTGTGGCTTAGTGGGTAGGGCGCTGGCCCCATATACCAAGGGTGGCGAGTTCAAACCCGGCCCCAGCCAAACTGCAACAAAAAAATACCCAGGCGTTGTGGTGAGCGCCTATAGTCCCAGCTACTTGGGAGGCTGAGGCAAGAGAATTGCCTAAACCCAGGAGTTGGAGGTTGCTGTGAGCTGTGTGACGCGGCCACAGCACTCTATTGAGGGCGATAAAGTGAGACTCCATCTCTAAAAAAAAAAAAAAGAGGAGTTAACATATTTGATAAATTCCGTTATGGAGCTTTGCCAATTAGGACTGAGGAATTTCAGCTAGAGTAGAAGATACTCAGGTTTTAACTGGTAGGATGACCACACTAGTGGGTCCTGATAAATGAAGTTTTTTGATATAGTCTGTAAGAACGTGTATCAAACCTTGTGATTTTCAACTTTTTAATCAAAAGAGTAGAACAGAACCAATAAGGCAGAATTATCAAAACTGAAAATGATATAAAACTGGAAGATTATTAGATGACAAAGCATTTATCATTAGGTGACAGAATGAGCAATCAGAAATTTCTAAGACCAAAAGTAAATTAAAGAAAATGTTAAGCCGAGTGTGGCGGCTCACACCTGTAATCCCAGCACTCTGGAAGGCTGAGGCAGGTGGATCGCTTGAGCTCTCGAGTTCGAGACCAGATTTAGCAAAAGCAAGACCCTGTCTCTACTAAAAAAATTAGAAAAACGGAGGCAAGAGGATCATTTTAGCCCAAAAGCTGGAGATTGCTGTGAGCTGTGACACCATGGCACTCTACTGAGGGTGACAAAATGAGACTGTCTTTGGGGAAAAAAAAAAAAAAAGAAAGAAAGAAGAAAAATCAACTGCAAAAACACAAGACTGCTTTAAACTGCTTTAGTTTATTTGATTGAGATCAAAGGATATCAGTTATTTGCAAATTCAGTATTATTTTCCAAATAGCAAAAGTGGTACCAATGGAAACACAGTGTCCTGAAAAAGGGAGATAAAGAACTGGACTTTCCTCTGTGCTCACACAGGGTGACTGACCATTTGTTTCAAGTGTTCTCTACAATGTGGAGCTTTCATGGCAAAACGAGGATACTCCCAGGCCAATCAATCACGACAAGCTGTCAGCCTATCACTACATAATCTGAGGTATCTGCAGAAGACCAGGATATTGATAAATTAAATCACTGTGATACCATGAGCACTAGGTGAAGCAATTATGGCTCCTTGGCATGTCCTAAAAACACACTAGAACCAAGTGTCCTCTTTCCCTACTGTCTAGCCACTTCTGACCACATGGTATTCTCAGAACTAAGTGTTCTAGTATAGAGAAAAGAGAAGTCATAGAACAAGGATTAGAATTAGTCTGGCTTTAAACAACAATAGTTAAGACCAAAAGATAAAAGAGCAAGCATAATTTTGGTACAATATAAAGAATATTCTAATAATCAGAGATACGAAAAAAATGACACTGCTTTCTGACTCAGAGAATACTCTCTCACTAGGCATTTTGAAACAGAAAACTTCTTTTTGAGACAGAGTCTTATTACTCTACTGCCTAGGCTAGACTGCATGCAGTGGCCAGATCATAGCTCACAGCAATCTCAAACTCCTAGGTTAAAGTGATACTCCTCCCTCCACCTCCGAGTAGCTGAGATGATAGGTGCCCACCACCACACCTAACTAATTTTTCTATTTTTAGTAGAGACAGGACCTTATTCTTGCTCAGGCTGGTCTCAGAACTCCTGAGCTCAAGCGATCCTCCTGCCTTGGCCTCCAGAGTGCTAGCATTACAGGCTTGAGTCACTGTGCCTGGCCCATAACAACTTCTTTACAAGAAGTTTTCTGGGCCATGTGTGGTGGCCTGTAGTCCCAGCTTGGGACACTGAGGCAGGATAATTGCCTGAATGCAGGAGTTTTAGGCTACACTGAGGTATGATGATGCCACTGCACTCTAACCCAGATGACAGAGACCTGTTTCAAGAGAAAAATTGTTACACAAGAGGTAGTCCTACTTTGACAACTCTTTCAACTCTAAGTCTATGATTCTATAAACTTTCAGTTACATAGGTATTTCTTTTTTATTTGAGATAGAGTCTCACTTTGTCACCCTTGGTAGAGTGCCATGGCATCATAGCTCACAGCAACCTCAAACTCTTGGGCTCAAAAGATCCTCCTGTATCTGAGGCTAGTCTTGCTCAATCTTGCTCAGGCCAGTCTTGAACTCCTGAGCTCAAGTGATCCACTTGCCTTGGCTTCCCAGAGTGCTAGGATTACAGCCCTGAGCCACTGAGCCCCGGTCAAAGAAACAAAGGGATTTCTTATCCAGTTACTCAATTTATGCTCCTCAACAATCTTTAAAGGATTAATAGTCTTTTGTTGTTGTTGTTCTACTTGCTTTCCACCACAAGGCAGTAGGTAAAGAGATAACACTCAAACTCAGAGATCTTAGCTGGAACTGTTAAGTTTCAGACTCTAGCTCTTCCCCTTGTCCTTTCAAAATCCTAAGGACAGAAAATGACAGAAGAAATCATATGAAAATACACCCTTAACATGAAGTCAGATAACAGATGAAGGCTAAAACACTTACCCATTCCTGATTTACCGTCTGGGTACGTATAGACTTGTCCATTGTTTTTGATAATTGGGAGACTAGAAGGTAAAGGAGCCACTTCCTCCTCACTCTCTTCAGAGCTGGAGCTGCTACTTGTGTCCTCACTGCAGCTATCATAACCGTCGAACATCCCGAACCAGTCTCTGCTCTTCCTTTCAGGTTGTGAAAAACGTTCAGCCTTGAAGTAGAAAAAACCAGTAACATACAAGTAATGACATAGTGCTCAAAGACCTAAAAGACCTTAGCACAAAATCTAAATGAGATTTGACAAATGTTAAATCTAGCCCCGAGAAATGATCACTTTATAATAAAAAGTTAAATGTCTTTGTCAAAATGAAGCCCTTTATTTCCATGAGGCACAAATCTATTACCAATCATGTCAGCTAATAAGATTAATAATAGTAATTGTGAAGACGAAAAAAGAACACTGAATCAGAAGACCATCGTGTAACTCAAGTTTTGCTTTAAACTAGGTATGTCACTTCTCTATAAAGAATTTATGTCAGGCTCATAAATTTACACTAGCCATAGCACAGTGGTTACAGCACCAGCCACATGCTGGCGCTTGCCAGCTAACCAACAATGACAACTACAACATGGTGGGCACCTGTAGTCCCAGCTACTTGGGAGGCTGAGGCAAGAGAACTGCTTAAGCCTATGAGTTTGAGGTTGCTGTGAGCTGTGACGCCACGACATTCTACCAAGGGCAACATCGTGAGACTCTGTCTCAAAAAAAAATTTATACCAGATTTATTTTCTAAAAAAACTGTGGTAAAATACACATAACAAGATGATTTCTGAATTTGACTTTCATCTCTGAAACTAAATTTCTATATCATTTAAGAGTATTCAGAAAATACAAATGCTTTTAAAAATCACCATTAAAAAGTTCAGGAGGGATTAATGGAGAATTTAAAGTTTTAAAATGTGAAAGATTTATACTATCTGAAGAGAAACTAGAATATAAGAATTTAAATTTTAGACACAATTTTTTAGATATTAACTACGGTAGAAGAACCTCCATAGCTGGCCACCTCCCTACACTGATCATCTCCTGAAGTTGATCTAATTTTCATATAATGGACATGCACACAAATTGTATCAATACAGTAAGCCTAATTCCTTATGTTGGCAATCTCTGTATGCTGACCTGTTTGTCAATACTCCCTTGGGTGGTCAACTTACAGAGTTCTATTGTATTTCAATAATTGTAGGAGGTAACATTTATACATACATATCCCTATTTCGTTTTTAAAAACAAATTATGATTTAAAGAAAGCCAACTCAATTGCCAAGCTAAACATTATTTCCTTTCCAAAGGAAAGCAAAGCTGTTAAGGGTACTCTCCACTCTGAATCTTCTCCAAAAGATGTGCCCTCATTTAAGCCACCAAAAAAAAAAAACAAACAAAAAAAACAAAGACAAAACTAATACTTCTACTCCAATCCTTCCTAGAACATATCCCCAAACTTCAGGTTTGGTAAGAAGAAAGTCAAAAGAAAAACAACTGGAATGGTATCTGAAATGAAAAAAATACAAAAAAACAAACGAAAAAGTTCCCCAAAACATTAGTAAACATGCATTGAGTTATAACTACAGAGATGCAAACTTATCAACCAAAGAATCTTTAGGGTTTGGCACCTATCCTAATCATTTGCTTCAGTTAATATACTGAAAAAAAAAAATCTTACACCTTATACTGAATTTCTTTCCTGGCTAGTCCACCTTTCTTGGTATTCCATGACCAATAACAACGCTGAAAACTATAGTCCAAAGCTTTGCAAGATAAAATCATCCAAAGGCATCTCTTAGTTTTATGCAATAAACTGAGAATTTCATTTTCAGGCATTAAACATCTGCATTCAAACGAGAAACTGATTTTTAGTTCTGTTAGGTGTAACTGCGAAAGCAACAGAAACTCATTTCTTAGTCCACATAATGGAAATATAGTCCCAGAGAAGTCTACTTGGGAGGTTCTACGTATGTTCTAATAATGCTGCCACAATCCCCAAACTGTTTTTGGTATCTTCTTTTAGAACTTTTTTTTTTTTACAGATAGGGAGCTCTCAGCAACCTCAAACTCCTGGGTTAAAGCAATCATCTTGCCTCAGTATCCAAAGTAGCAGGAACTTTAGGCACCTGTCCCACACCCAGAACCCAGCTAAGATTTTTTTATAGATTTTTTTCCTTCTTTTTTGTTTTCTTGAGACACAGGGTCTGTCCTGGTTCAGGTTAGTCTCAAACAATCCTGCTGTGCTGACCTCCTGAAGTGTTAGGATTATAGGCACTAGCCACTGTGCCCACCCTAAAACTCTTTATTAGACCCAATTTTTATTTTATTTTACTTTTTTGAGACAACAGAGTCTCACTTTGTCATCCTTGGTAGGGTGCTGTGGCATTATAGCTCATAGCAACCTCATACTCTTGGGCTCAGGCGATTATCTTGCCTCAGCTTCCCAAGTAGCTGGGACTATAAGTGCCTATAATGCCTGACTATTTTTTTAGAGGCGGGGGTCCTCAATTGTGCTCAGGCAATCTACCTGCCTCAGCCTCCCAGAGTGCTGGGATTATAGGTGTTGAGCCATCGTGCCCAACCTTAGATCCAAGTTTAAAATGAAAAGCTTATCATTCATGGTCACTTCAGAATGACTCCCTCTGTTCCCAGCAACAGTTTTCCCTACCTTGCTCATCCATCTCATTAGGTAGATTTGATTCTGAAAAACTTTTAGGTATTTCCACAAATCAAAGACATCTTCAAAGAATCAAGATTTGCTACCACTAGGAAATTTAAAAGGAATAAATCGGACCCTTAAGGCAATTCCAAAAGAACAGTTCTAACTAACATTCTGAATTATCAGGTGGTAGGGAAATGGGATAATACTCATTTAGATACAGTGTGGTGCTATGAACACAGAATTCTGAGGAACTTAGGTCTGAAACTCAGCTTTGCCATTTATTAGCTGTGAAATTGAGCAAGTTCTAAGTTTCTTCTTTTATTCATTCAACGACTTATCTATCAAGTATTTTGTATCTCACAATAGCTGAGGCTAAAGACAGTGTGGTACACAGAACAGAAGAGACCCATGGTTCTCACAAAGTTATAGTCTACTGGCAGGAGAAACTAAGCAAGGTCATACGATGACAGAGGAACTCAGTCAGGGAGAGTCAGCTGAGATTCAGTGGTGAAAAAAGGCCTCAGGGAAGTAAAACCAGGAAGACAAAAGGGCAGCCACTTAAAAACCTAGTGCTAGAATATTCTAGGCAAAGGAAAGGACAAGACAGAGGCTTTTAGGTTAGAATAAATTTGGTGCACTGAAAGGTCAGTGTGGCTGGTGCCCAGCATGAGAGGTGTGGGAGATGAGGTCTGAGGAGGATGAAGTGGCCACATCATGAGGGCCCTAGGCCAGAGTAAAAAATTAATTTTTTTTTTGTAGAGACAATGGGAAGATATTATGAACTATTTATCACCTTGCCTGGCCTATACTTAATACTGGACTCACACAGCTCACCTCCATGAAAAGGTGTCCTTTCATACCCATAACTTTCATAACTTATCTACTATATAGCCAGCTCAGTTAGCAGCTCATGCATGTTTACAGACTCTTAATGTCAACCCGGAGAATATAATCTGACAGAGGATCAATGATTATAGAAGATGATTATAGAGGTATATATAGTATGCTGTCTTTTCCAAAACATCTTGAAGGACTGGCCGGTGTGGTGGCTCATGCCTGTAATCCTAGCACTCTGGGAAGCAAAGGTGGGAGAAATGCCTGAGCTCAAGAGTTCAAGACAAGCCCAAGCAAGATCGAGTCCCTGTCTACTAAAAATAGAAAAATAAGCCAAGCATTGTGGCAGGCACCTGTAGTCACAGCTACTTTGGAGGAGAAGGATCACTTGAACCCAGAATTTTGAGGTTGCTGTGAGCTAGGCTATTACCATGGCACTCTAGCCTGGGGCACACTGTGTCTCAAAACAAACAAACAAAAAAAACAAACCTTGAAGGATTTTTTTTTTTTTTAGAAATAATCTCACGTTGTTGCCTTCGGTAGAGTGCCATGGTGTCACAGCTCACAGCAACCTCAAACTCTTGGGCTTTAGAGATTCTCTTGCCTCAGCCTCTTGAGTAGCTCAGACGACAGGCACCTGCCACAACAGCCAGCTGTTTTTTTGTTTTTAGCAGACTGGGGCTGGGTTTGAACCCACCACTGAGCTATGGGCACCGCCTGAAGGACTAACATTTTTTTTTTTTTTT